TGTTTTAGAGGGTTAAAATGAAGGGACCTGACAATTATTCTCACTTGTATAGTTTTCTCGCTTATCCAGTTCTCACTCATCCACTTTTGGCTGTATAGCCTAACAATAATTGAGATATTATGAACATTTGTGTCCTACCAGTAATATTATGCGGTTCACAGACATGGTCACTAACGGAAAGGGAGAAAATGTGCCAAAGAGAGATAAAAAGGAAAATATTAGGTATAAGTCTAAAAGACAAAGTAAGAAATACTGACTTAAGACAAAGAACAGGTCAAAACGACATAGGTCAATTCACATGCCTTATAAAATGGAAATAGACAGGACATATAATGAAGATGCACACAAACTATGGACCTACAAAATTACAATATGGGGCCCAAGGAATGGCAAAAGAAATATTGGAAGACAGACATAGAAGTCAGACAAAATAGTAAGAAGATTGGGAAGACTTGACCAGAACAGCAGTAGGCCGCACAAAATGAAGAGAAGTCCTTCACATACTCGACGAAGTTGGTCAAGAAAAAAACACATAAAAAGAGGAAGAGAGACACACACAAAAAAAAAGAGCGCAACGAAAAGCAACCTGTAGTAATGTAACTTCGCTCTCTCCACCCAAGGCATCATATTGACTCGTCATACACGATTGTAATTGTATATGTGACTCAATAAATATTATTATTATTATTGTAAGTGAAGTGGTAGTGAAGTGATAATTATACTTGAACAAAAGGAAGGGACCAGTGAGAAGTGAACAAGAAAATAAGACTAGTAACGTACAAGCTATGTAGCTTATTTAAAATATCCAATATAAGAGGCATTTGCCCTTCTAAGGGATATGAACAGTCTAATAATAATAATAATAATAATAATAATAATAATAATAATAATAATAATAATAATAATGTTTGTTGTAAAAATTCAGTCTCTCATTTCAGTTAAAAATAAAATAATTATACTTCTCACCATGTCACACGCAGTATTTATTTTCTTTTAAATATTTTTTAAATAAACCACATGCAGTTGATATTGCATCATGCGATTGTAGAAACGTGCTCCATTTGATAATGTTTAGTGATTTTAAATAGCGAAATATCAGACTTGATATATCGAAAAAGAATTCGGAAAGTATTTAGTAAATTACATCAGAGACAGTTTCAATAATGATACTGATATGAAATCAGCAGAAACTGAACACTTTTCTTGGTATAATCATCGCCATCATCATTAAGGCTCAGACTTTTAGGTAAATACATTTCTTCTCTTAATCCTGAGCGTCGAAAGTTAAATGGAAATTCAAGTAGTTCTCCGTAGTTTCCATAAACCACATTGCAAATCATCTAAAAATAAATATTTTGATTCAGTTGCCCAAAAATAAATATTTTCGTCTACACAGATATTACATATTCCACTCTATTTTATAATGAATATGATGTAAATGAATAGTTTGAATTTTTTCAATTTCATTACTTTCGAGTTTTTGGATATATGGTGAAAGACCAGCTAGTTTGGAATGTAGTGGTTGGTCACACACTACATGTAACTGTGGAACTTCCCCAACTGAGTGGGTGGAGTGAGTCTGATTCACAACCTGTCAAAATACCTCAGGGCAATTTCTACTACTGTATATTCAGGCAATGACACTCCGCGAGATAACACACACTCATAACACGAGTAGGTCCCCAACTTTCTCAAATTACACAGTCAAAAAGTGCAGAAGATATCGACATGTTTGACTTTGAGACTTCTATCTTAATTACTGATTTTCATATGACTAATAAATCAAACTTTCCGTAGTTTTAACGCATATTTTTCACTTTTAAAGAACATAAAAAGTAAATATTTTTCGTTTTTTAGCACCTTTAAGTCAGAGCCCTAATCATCAACATTATTTCAAGTGAAAGCGTAGGCTTCCGCGGCAGGAGTCTGTGTCTACTTGGCTGTGCGGGAGACGCCATGTTCTAGGCACAGCATTGAGGACGGCTGCAGTATGACGGCCGATACGTTATACGTTAGTATCTGTGACTAGGACGCCCAGACAGCCAAGTAGATATATCAGAATCGCGCCAGCTCGCCGGATGAAGTGCAACGGCCAGCGAATGCCCTAACCAGAAAAAAGGCTGACTTTACATTGGCAGAAATAATTCCAGCCCATTTGATAAAGATACTCGGAAGTTGGAATACTCTTGTGTTCAGCTCTGCGAATTCCCGTGAAAACTCAGGAGAACAAAAATTGTGTACGAGAGTAGAGACTTTACGGCCATGATTTATTTCCTTTGTGTCTATTCCTCTTATTAGGAAGTAATGTTGTGAAATGGAGCATAAATTTACAATTACAATCTTAAACGGAACAATTCCTCCCGTTCTGTATAGAAATCCCTCGATCCTACATCGAGAACCGTGTGATGCGGATACACGATTGCATGCGCGAAAACGCGCGGTGGATATGACTCCTTCCAACATTCGCAAATATGAGTGCCGAGTACCCGCACGACCCGTGGCGTAATGTTCGGATCCGCAAAGCCCACAATGCGGGAAAGCCAGGGTAAAAGCTTTTAGGCTGAAGATTTTGCGATTGTAAGAAATATGACTTGATACTTTCACTGATACTTTGCGATAGTTGATACTATAAAAGATTAAAAATAAGATATTCCAGAACAATTTTTTCCCCGCTTCGGTAGCTTAAATCAATAAAGGTAAGCAATCCATGTGGGTTTCGTAAGTCTTAATTTCATAATTAAATAATTAAAGCAGATTTTTTTCACTATCGCTTATCAATCTTAGACTTATGAATTCGAATCTGTTAAATTTTTATTATTTCAGGTACTAACACTACTTGTGTTTTCTATACACGTTCATAACGGGGGCCGGATACAAGTTTCGTGGGAAGGTCGGCGCTCATTTCGTTACGCAACTGCGCACGACGCAAAATCCGCAAAAAAATCATTGCAATACTTGTGAGGTTGTGGATGTGCACGCCCAAGCAAGACTGCGCATGAGCGCGCTTATGGATCGATACGAGTGGCAATACTGGAAACGAATGAACTATGTAGGCATTACAGTCTTGAGCATCCTCGATTTGAAATTTTGAAATACATTGGTTTTGATTAAAATTTGGACAGTTTGTATTAAAGAACAACTTATTTCAGTACCAATACGACTGAGCGAGATTATTTAACTAGTGGCGAAAGAAATTTCCATAAGCACAAAAACTGATGTTAGCAATCAAGCGAAATTAATGACTTCTGAAAGACTAGGCGATTTTTAAAAAATGATTATGTACTTCAATATTAAATTATAAAGAACTGCTTTTTGATCAAGACATAATAAAGCATCTAAAGCAATATCTATGAATGAAGTCGACAATTATGGCAGGAAAAGA